AGTAGGGGTTCATCCTCCTTTTGTTCTCTCTCTCTCTCTCTGTATATATATTGTGACATTAAGTGGTGCCTAGGCGACCAGGCAACTAAGCACTCCCTTGTCGCCTAGGTTTGCCTTGGCGCCTTGAAAACTGAGTGCAAGGAGTATGACCATGTTGTTTCTCATTTCAAAAAGAAGAATGTGTGCATTTATTGTAAGTAAACAGGGACACAATAATTGAGTCTCTTACTTGACCACCTAAAGGGAATGGTTTAGGTACAAATAAGAAACAGCATAAAGCCTATCAAACTATTATGGAAGGATCAGATGGTACTATAACCACTCCTACTTCAACTTCGGTTAAGGGAGAAACTTATGGTGCATTTTGTAAAGTTGGTTCCTACTTAGAGTCAGTTACACAATTAGATCACAATTAGATCATAGATCATAAGTCAGTTACACACTTAGAGTCTGTTGGTTCCACATTTCGCGAGGCCAACCCCATTCAACTTTTAGCAAAAGCTAAGCCCAAGCATGGTCCATGAACAGGTCTATTTGTAAGGCCTTTGTTGTTCTTGATGTCACTGTTAGAATCGACAGTCCAGGGGTATTTGAATCATTTCATAATGCTTTACTTTAAGTAGTTTTGTCTATTGTGTCTGAGGTTGAGTAGAGTGTCCCATCCATAAATAGGGGCACAATGGCCTTTGTTCTTACAGTTAGAAATCTATATATATAGTACGAATAGGGTCTAAGATTTCTGGAATTTTTTTAGACTAAAATATCCCTTTTTTGAAATAGGGTCCCTCTAAGGAATTAATTCTCATTTACCCTTATTTAACAATACATATATGGCATTTTCGTTTCTTTTAATTACAAAATTATAACATAGAAATTAAATATTTTGGGTCAAATAGGTCAACCCATGTTGCATTGTTGCCACACAATTAAATAATAAAAATTAAACTTGATAAAATGCAAAAAAATATGGAAATTAAAGAAAAATTTGGGAACATCTTTAATGTCATATATTCATCATATTGGACAAGAATAAGTATGATAAATAAGAAATACTTTTATTAATGATGCAAATTGAATACAAAATTTAAAACCAATTGGAAATAAAATTATTTTCTTATTCTCTCATTAAATCCTATATTTAAGATATATTTTTCTCATCATTAAATTCTATTAATTAAATCCACAACATTGATTTTAAAAGTATAAAAATAAATATTTTGAAAAATAATTTAAAAATAAAACCATTTTCTTCCACCCCGGTGATGGATAAGCAATTTAACCATTTGGGTCAAATGGGTTAACCAATAATGCCATAATTAAAAAATAAAATATCAAAATAAATAATATATAAAAATACAAAAAAAAATGAATCGAGCATACCAATAATATTATATATTCATTATACTAAATAAAATTAAGTATAAAATGTAAGAAATATTTTTATTAACGATGAAAATGGAATTACAAATCTAAAATAAACCTTGAAATTAAATTAAATGATGTCATAGTCAAATAATAAAATTTTTAAAATAAAAATACAAAAAAACACAAAAGTAAATAAAAAATTACAGTACAATTTGGGCACATATTTGATGTTATATATTTATAAAAAAATAAAATATTGGGTCCATCTATAATATCATAGTCATTATATTGAACAAAAGTAAGTATTATACATAATTTTATTAATGATAGAAGTGCAATAATAAATGGTTTGGGTGGTGGGTTAGTGGTTTGCGTCAAATGAATTAACCAATGATGTTATAGTAAAATAATAAATTTTTAAAAAATAAAAAAAGGCATAAGGAATCAAAAATACAAAAATTATAAAAAAATGGATACATATCTAATATTATATATTAATTATATCAAATAAAAATTAAGTATGACAAACAAACATTATTTATATAATGTAGATGAAATATATAATTTAAAATTGATCTAAAAGCAATGCTATTCTCCTATCTAGATGGTGGGTTAATGATCAAACTTTTCAAATAAACTCATGGTGATGTCATAATTGAATAATAAATATTTAAAAAAGATAGAACACAAAAAATGAAAAGTATACAATTTTACAGAAAACATTTGGGGACATTTCTAATGTTATATATTCATCATATTAAATAAAAAAATTGTTAAAATAAAAATTATTTTTATTTATGATGGAAATTAGAATACAGAATTAAATAATAATAATAATAATAAATAATAACAATAAATATCCTGGTTGGTTGGGAGACTGATTTTTTCATTAAGTGAGACCAGCCAAACCATCTCTTCATCTTCTCCTCTCTCTTTCAGGAAGTAAATCAGCTCTGATCAAATAACTAGCATGGTATCAGAGCCCTGATTTTCTTCTTAGTTTTCTTCTTTTCAGCACCTTCCAAACATCAGTTCTATGTTTTCTTGGTGATTACCTGGACGATCAAAGAGAGAACAAAAAGAAGTGGTCATTTTTTGTCTAGGGAGGTATCCATGCCTCCAGTTGCAATGGAAAGTGCTGTTTCAGTGGAGTTTTAGAGAAACCCTCTAATCGATGTGTTGAAGAGGGACTGCCAGTGATCAGTCAATGTGCAACAGTTCGTGTGGGGTGTTTCAATTATCTGAAAAGGCACAGTAGTGGATTTCTGGACTTCTTGTAGTAGGCCTATTACAGGTATGCATAAGTGATTTTCCGTGTGTTTCTTGTTAATGGAAGTGAGTGATAGGTGTGAGAACAGTGCTGAAACCTGTTGCAGCACATATTTCTGAGTGTACGTGTTTCTTGCTGATAGAAGTGGGTGATGGATGTGAGAACAGAGAACAGTGCTGAATTCAGTTACAGCACAATTTTCAGTTATGTACCCTTGGCAACCTTAGGAGAGAATAGTGATAAAAATCAAGTGTTATGATTCCCTTGATTTTCTGAATGCACGAATGACATTTATGAAGCTGAATGGTGAGAAGTATGTGCCATGGGCCAAGTCAATGGAGGTCTTTCTCAGGGCCAAGAAGAAGGAGAAACATGTGAAAAGAAAAACCTTCCCAAGGACATGGTGATTGGGAACAAGAAGATGCACAGAGTATGACATGGTTGTGGAATAGTATGGAACCTAAAATCAGTGTGAATTTTATGTTTCTTGATACAACTAAGGAGATATAGGACCATACCAAGAAGCTTTATTCTAAACAAGATAATACTACAAGAATATATCAACTCTATCAAGAATATTTTAATCTACAATAAGGAATGAGCTAAATATCTATCATCCTTTGACATTAGATGTTAAAATTCAACAGCAACAAAGGAAGCAACTAGATGTTACCAGATTTTTAGTAGGTTTGAAAGCCGAGTATGAACTAGTTAAAGCTCAGATTCTAGGAGGTTTTCTCTTCCATCCCTTGAGGAGGTGCTTGCACAACTCTGTAGGATTAATATTGGGTCTTCAAAGTGTTCCACAGTTTTAGATAGATCAGCCATTGCAGTGATGTGAGGGGGAGGCCGTGGAAATAGAGGAGGTCATGGAGTTCAGGGAGGTCGTGGTGGACCTATGTTGCATCGTGATGGTGGACGTAGTGGAGGTCGTGATTGAGGTTGTAGTTTGGGCCTAGGAAGTGTACACATTGTGGGATAGAAGCACACAATGTTAATTTTTGCTATAATCTACATGGACCAACTTTTACATGGGTTAATCATGCAAACACAAGAAGTGGTGGTGAAGCAGTTGATACCCAGCAGACTGATCAAGCACCGTTTACATCTACTAGTGCCTCTAGGAAGGAGATGATGAGTATTCCACGTGATGAGTATGAAAGGTTTCTTCAAGCTACTTCCCAATAGATTACGATTACTCTTTCCCACTCAGGTATGGCTTGTCTGGCTTCCAAACCTTCACCCTAGATTGTCGATTCTATAGCTCCCGATCATATGACTAAGACTCCACGTTTGTTTTCCTCCCTTTGTCCATCTTCTACACCACAAACAGCCACTTCAGTTTTGTATGTGCCCAAATTCCCTTTTAGTCTTATATCTTTAGCAAATTGACTAAATCTCTCAATTGTTCTGTAACTTTCTTTCCTAACTCTTGTGCTTTTCAGGATCTCAAGACAGGGAAGAAGATTGATGAAGGGAATGAAACCAATGGATTGCATTATCTTGATGGTGGTAGTCCAGCAGTAGCTCTCCAATCCTCTCTTACACCTCTCCAGTGGCATTCCAGACTTGGCCATCCTTCTCTCAAGACACTTCAGTTACTTGTTTTGTCATTGCATCGTCTTTCTTCATTGGAATGTGAGTTGTGTTAGTATGGGAAAAACCATCGGGTTTCCTTCAGTCCTAAAGTAGATAGTTGTAGTTTGAGTTCTTTTTCTTTAGTCCATTTTGATATTTGGGGTCCAAATAGAATTGTGTCATACAATGGTTATAAGTACTTTGTAATTTTTGTTGATGATTATTTAAGGATGACATGGATTTACCATGAAAGAAAAGAGTTAATTATTCTCCATTTTTCAAAAATTTTATGCTGAAATCCGCACTCAATTTGGTGTTCACATTAAAATTCTTTGTTCTGATAATGGGAAAGAATATTTCTATACCCCATTTCAAGAATACTTGGAACAACATGGAATCATCCACCAAACCTTTTGCACTTATACATCTCAACAAAATCGGTTGGCTGAACGCAAGAACCTTTTTGCACTTATACTTAGAACAACTGCTCAGTCCCTTTTACATCATCATATGAGTGTTCCTAAATGTATTTGGAGTGATGCTATTCTTACAACTTGTTCTCTCATTAACTAGATGTCATTGTCTATCCTTAATAGCTACCTTGTTATGTATTGTGAAACAAAGGTAATGAAAAACATTTCACTGAGGTATAGCATCATCTCCAATACTAATTGTACTATGATTAAAACTCGCTAATTAGGCAGCTTAAGTTAAACGGAACTTAAGCTGCACATGGATGATTAAGAGGAAAGTACTGTTGATACAATTAAAGTTCCTACAGACATACCTATCAAGAGCCATATTTCTTGTTTGCCCAGATCCCAAGCTGAGAGCAACAAGCCATCTGTCAACAACTTTATTTCCTCCTTGAAAAATGTCCACATCTATAATTTGCAACTTGGTTGCAACATTGGAGTTGCTAAATAGCCTTGATATCTGAAACTTTCTCCACTTCTTTTCAGCAAAAGGATTCCTTAAAGGAGCAGATGATGTGTCCACAAAAACTGAATAATCTAGACATGGTTGTGCACTCCCATCCTCCCATGTTGATTGTGACACCTGGAAGATAAGATACAGTTTAGAAAGAACAATGTTAAGTCAAATAACTTAAATGGAGCCCAAAAAGTTCTTAGAAATTGAAGATGAATGTGAGGTTCAGGAAAGGACTCTATGAGATATCAACAATAATAGATGTGAAAACTTATTTTCAAGAGAGAGCAATGAATTTGTAACTTAAAGGAGAGGGCATGTAAAAGGGGAAAACACCATTGAGGAAGAAATCAGATTTCCCTTGATTCCCCCTTTAGTAGCAGTTTCTAAGTTTCCTAATTTGGGTCAACTTATTATGTTGCTTCGTTAGCTATTATTTTTAAGTTGTCATAGGAACAGGATTACATAGTCAAGATCCAAAGTAGTTATTAGATTCATATTAGTGAGTCTACAGGTTTTAGAAACTTCAAGTTGTAATCACATCATTTTCCTACCTGACAAACTATTAGATATTAACAAGGAGTATACAAATTTTAGAAACTTCAAGTTGAAATCCTGTAATTTTTTACCTACCTAGCTTCTTAGGGATCAAAACATACATTCAACTTGATTTTGGTATCACTAGATAGAATTTTCAGTCACCCATCCAATGAGACCAAATTCTAGTAAATCTAATATAATTTGCAGGAACTAATAGGGGTGATCATCAAAAACTGAAAAACTGAGCCCACTATATATTATAAATTAATAAATACGCATTACATATATCAATATATATTTATAATACATAATATATTATTTATTATTTAAAATATAATATTTTATATGTACTTCTAGTTTTTTATTATATATTTATATTTATTTATAATATATATTATAAATATAAAAAACTAAAAAACCGACAGTTAATCAAACCACTCAAGTAGTTAACCAATCGGCTTTGTTTCGGTTTTGGTTACCAGTTTCCCAAAAATTGGCAATACCAGTTCGGATTCAAAAATGGGCCCACAGTTTAGTTAACCAAACCGTGAGCACCCCTAGGAACTAAGGCCATTTTACTGATAGGGTGTCAATTCATGACAGGATTCCAGTCTGCAATTTATGGTTTATTATGGGGATACTCTATAAGTTAATTTAATTGCAATATGACATGTAGTTGGGGCCATTGCTTAGTGTAATGGTAGAATCTAGGGCTGACAAATGTGAGGGGGAAGGTTTGAGCCTTAGAACAATTACTCCGTGCAATGGCCTCTAGGACAAAAATTAGGTAATGGCCTTTCTTAATAGGATTAGTTGTGATTATCTAACATTATTTTATGGGTTTAAATTAGAATTTGGGTTTTTATAGGGGTTGCCTATATGTTCATCTTAGTTTTAAAGCAACTACCAGTTGGATCCACTTAATTACAAAATAAAGGGCATAAGTTTTATTTCTGGCAAGGATTAAGTATTGATATCGAGTAACGTATCGGACAACTTGGATACGGATACTGATATGGATACGCTTTGGAAACGCATGGATACGGATGAAAATATGAAAAACTTGGATACACTAGGGAAACACATGCAAATTTCATAAACACATTAATAACACTAAATTTATAGTCAAATAACCATAAATAATGTATAAATATATAAGAAATATATATTTAATGGTATACATAAAAATAAATCATACAATGCATTAATTAAGAGTCCAAGATGGACTTATTATATTTATCCTAATTATTATATCAATTATTTTCTATTTTATTATTTTTACATTTTAACATTAACAAAAAAAGGTAACCAAATATTAAATTCTCAAATATAAATTAAATTATCATTTAATAATTTATAAAAATATATAAATTTAACTTAAAATATATAAAATTGGTTACAATTTCTAAGATATGCATCATATTCAAATTCATAATTTTTAATTATTAAAATAATTATTTCATTATTAAACTTTTTATTTGTATATTTTTTTTTTTTAAATTAAAAATCACATTTTCATATAAATGTAGATTAGTGGATTTGATAATTTCAATTTAATATTATATTCTTGAATATTTTTCAAACATATTTTTATTTTTTGTAAATAATAAATACGTTGTCATTTAATGTAAATGAAAATATTAATTAATAATTATAAAAACATATAAAATTTGTAACATATATATCATGTGCAAATTTATAAATTTTAAGTAGTAAGGTAATTATTCTATGATTAATATTTTATTTGTATAAATTTATTGAGAATAAAATCATCTTTTGATATAAATACTTTTTTTGTACTCCTTTTGATGTAAATATAGAATTAACAGATTATTTATTTCATTTGTTTATAAAATAATAATTTTAAATATTATTTATTTTAATTTTTAATTGGGGTTGTTAAACATAAATATTGATTATTTATTTGGATAGACATTAATAAAAATTTGTTATTTCATTAAATATCACAATGCATGGCATGCCCAAGTGGTTTGAAGGAGAGCTTAAGGCTCTCGCACCACGCGCACAATGTCCCAGGTTCAAATCACACTATTAGCAGCGTTTGAATTTTTAATCAAAGATGTTGCTTATCGGTCGGTATCGGTGTGTACAGGCTGATACACACTCGTATCGGTCTGATATGCGCGATTTACAGGATACGTTTCCATTCTTAACGTATCTTGTATCGCCCTAATCCAATACCAATACGATACGCCCCGTATCAGACGTTTTGTATCGATATTTAATTCCTTGATTTCTGGTACCTGTTACAGTAATCAAAAGAAATGATTGAACTAAGCCCCCTGTGTTCTTAAAACACCATCAAGAACTTTATAAAGTGCTAGACACCTCGTACTTTAGATGTAGTGATGTACCAATACAGATAATTCAGGGAACTTAAACACACCAAATAACTAGCTTATACCACTCTGGTGACACTACATTAGATGCATCTAGCTTTGCTTAAAAGGATTTCCAGTAACATTAATATGTCAATATGCATGTCTGAAATGGCAAGTTTCCATGCTGATTCTGATCATGTTAAGTTGGTTTTCATCTCCACTATAGAGAAGATGGACCGAATGGCCCATAGGTTGTTTATTCTTTCTTGTTATTTATGTTTCTTTTCTATAATGGGCCTTATTCTGGGCCCATCCTGTCAATATTAAGTTCTTTGTAAATTCTTGCCCAATTAAGGGCCTCCTTGTAATTATTCAAATATATCTAAATAAAACAGTGTTAGGGTGCTGAGAGAGGGTAAGTTCAAAACTCTCTTC